ACCACAGATTGGATATGAATGGAGTATACGGCATCAAGCTGTGAAGCATTGTCCAACAAGGCAACCACACCAATGTGGCTGTGAACCATCAACCCTGTCCCTCACAATCATTTTCATAGCTTTAATATGAATTCCTTCGTGACAAATGTTATCGCCGAGCATCCGTTTTCATCGGCTTTCGGACTTGTGGCAGGGAGATAGCGCATCGCCACTCGGTTTGATTTCCCCACTTCCAAGAAGGAGGAGAAGATCAACACTAGATCGATTCTTTCTCTTTATGGCTGAACATTTTGACGATTTATTATCGGAGTTTTTTTGTTATGATTAGCCGGATTGGTATTCATGTGCGGACAACCAAGCCTTACATTCGTCTGTGATCAATTAACTTCCACGTGCTGCTTTCCATGAACCTCGGCATGTTTGTATCACTGAGTTTATTGTTTTCTTGGAAGTTAATTGCTTGTTATGGCCATTTCAGGCTTTGAAGAAGGCTATTTCGTCGAAACGTCAGCCTAATAAACATACTTCAAACCTCGTGAAGTGTTCAAGAAAACAATAAACTCTTTGGTCAATTAATTGGTAGGACACTCGTCTGGAAGGATAGAAGCACTGACTTGTACAACGAGTAGCTGCCACAAGTCACTGTATAGGCCAAACTCGTGTTCAGTACTACAGTACCATTATAAATGGGACTCGAATGCGTAGGGATGAGAGAGGCGAAAATGCACCAGGAAACCCTTCTTCATTGGTATTGATATTATTAATTACGCTTCATTGAGTATTTTTTGTCGCCTGGAACAAAGAATGCCGAAGTGACTGTTTCATAAAATTGTATCCAAACAGAAAGGAACATATTTGAAAAAATTTCATTCAGAATATTGCTAAAAAGTCAGTATAAAAACGGCTTCATCTTCCCATTCCTAACTCTACAAGAATAGTGAGGAAATAGTAAGACTTAATTTTTGTATTCGATAACTATGTAGTGAGAAGCAATCTCGGCATGTTTTTGGGGGCAATCTTGTGTTACTCGAAAGTATGGTTTCTTTTGAGTACTAATCTGTATTCGAGGGCGACTGTTCAGCTTTGAGCAGTAGCATACTGGTGTTCTTCCAGAGGTTTGAAAGGGCTGTTGAAGGCACAGTTCACGATTACTTCGGGTCATCTAGTTTCAGGCAAGTAATTGAAGTGATAGTCTAGAAAAGGGCAAAAGTGGTGGAGAAACAGGAAATCGGAGTATTTAGAGAAATAAAGGCAGTGAAATTAATAAAATTGGAGGCTGAAAGAGAATGTAACTGCAAAAGCTGGCTCATGGTATGTTAGGTTCGGCAAAAAAACTAGTTGCTCACTTAATCCTTCCAAGGTGAGATAAGAAATTTCTGTTCCTCAGGAAAGCAACATAACGGTCACCTCAGTACTTATTGTCTTTTTATCTCTGACATCTGTGTTACTGATATTCTCTCTCTATGAATATATATATATNGCATTTATTTTACACAAACCCCGCCGCGTTATCATTATTATTATTATTTAGCGCGTTATATATATATATATATATATATATATATATATATAACGCGCTAAATAATAATAATAATGATAACGCGGCGGGGTTTGTGTAAAATAAATGCCCGAGCGGAGAGCCATAACTTCTGTCCCCGTGGATCCAAAGCGCTAAAACTTGGCAGGAGTGCAGGTGGTAGGATAGGAACGCATGCGATGGGTGGCAGGACCAGACTCCGCTTACAGTGGACGGGGTTTGAGCGGAAACTCATAGTTCCTGTCTCCATGGGCTTTGAGCTTCAGAAGCATAGACGGCAGAATAGGAACACTTATGATGGGTTGCAGGACTAGACTCCGCCTACAATGGGCGGAATTTCACGGGAGACTCATACGGCGGACGCGGCGCGCACGAATCGAATTGCACATATCTTCACGTTTTCACGTGGGGAAAGTAGAACTGGAGTTGTGATGGAAATTGCTTGGAATATTCGTTATCTAGATCGTAATTGGTGGTCTAAATATTGCATTTCAGCCTTTTTGTTTTCCTTCAGTTTATCTAGAGCTTTTTCCCAAAAAAAAGCTCAAAGAGGGAGGAGCGAAGGGTAAAAAAAAGTCCTTATTAGCATGTGCAACAGAGCGTTTTTTTTTTGTTAACAAAGCTTGTTCTATCGAGAGCCCACATAAATGAATGATGTTCCACGAGATAGTGAAAAAAGGAGTCGTAAAGTCGGAATCTCTCCACTGCGATATCCGCCTTTCGCCCTATCCACTACTAGTGCATTCCTTCCTCACCACTGTAATGCTTCATTCTTTCCAAAGCACTTTCTTGTGGTAGTTTATGATTTCGCGATCCCATTATGGCTACTTTATGCTTCTGCTTTTCTTCTTTGCTGCTTCCAGTCTTTCGTTGGCGGACGCTTTACTATTCACCAATTTCTCATGCATCATGAAGTCAAACACGAGCGTTTCAGATGGAGATCTGCTTATTGTGTTACTTGCAATGACATTTTCATTTTCTGTTTTTTGTTAAGCACTCCTGAACCGCAGCAGTATTTTTTATTCAAAGTAGTAGTGGTATCCGGCTGATTTCCCGATGTTAGCACTCATGTACAGGGTGTCCCGAAATTATTGGCGCCAAAATTCAGAAACTTCTAAGGTAGAAATAATTTATCAAATTCACATTACCTGTTATTAATTAGTTGCATAAGAAGGTTTCCTTGCAATATGCATGGTTGCTGATGTGGAACTCCCATTATCTTTCAGATGGAGGAGGCTCATTCAATGCCACTTGCAATCATTGAAACGCGAGAGGTGGAAGGGCATTATGAAATTCCTTGGGATTTTTGTAATAACCGTAAAAGGCAGAAGATTTTCGATGATAGGACTATTAAAATGGTCCATCTGCCAATAGGTTGGGATCCTGGGTGACCCATCAAAAGGAAGTCAACGGGCACGGCTCACAGGAGTTATCGCGATGGGAGAATGTCATGCAGTAGCTTCACTGCCTTTCCTATCGTATG